ATGGGAACTTCTGTTCCTATCTGACACTGGCTTACAAAAACAAAAGGCAAATCACTGATCCTCCTTGCCACGTCTGACCTTCCTACTTGTAAGATGAATGTAGCTTTTTGTAGAATTACTGTGCTAATACCATTTGAAAATGCCAAATCTAAGATGCATGAATGAAAAAGCTTATAAATTTAAGAACTTTCAGCACTAGAAAATGAACCTTGTCTAGCTTAGCAAGAATAGCAGGTCTGTGCAAAACAATATTACATTTCAGGCAAATATCAAGCCACCTCAAATGAAGATAATTTTACCTGTAAAAATGTTCTGTATTCTTCACTAGATACTCCTCCCTCTGCCATTCTCATCCTTTCTTCCTCATCCAACTGCTGTGCAATAGAGGATAACTCTACAGGACTAAAGTATTCCCCTTGCAGCAAATTATTCAGACAGTGTTGTGCACACAATGAGCCTTCTTGCTAATATTGGAAGAGAAAAAAATACCAAAGACAACAAGAAAATCAGGTTTACATAAACTCTGTACAATGACTCAACCATTTCATTCTGTAAACTTCCTGCCCTCCCCACTCACCTAGAATACCATATATTCTTTGAATGTATTACACTGCAACCCTCCCATCAACTTTATGAGGGAAAAAAACAAACAAAAAACCACCCAAAAAATCAGGCACACTACTTTATTTCCTCAAAGGAAATAAATTTCAGGTAGAAAATGTTTTTTGGAAACACCATAAAAATTGCCAATGGCCCGACCAAATCACACAGGGACTCTGCAACCAATGGATTCTGTCCTCTTCCAAATCACCACCACATGAAAACAGAACAGTTTAGATCTCTGCTTCCCAGGAACTCATGTTTTCTGTTAACTGACACTCATTCTTTTTTAACTTTTCTTCCCTGACAGGTGTGGCTGTTGAAATGTCTCTCCACATTAGTGCTGAGGAAGTGATTTGGAGCTGGAGGAGCAGTAAAGCTCATTTTCTATATGAAATTTACATACAGAAAGCAGGTAAAAATTCCACTAGTTCTAGAATCCTGATGACAATGATGAGGGGACAAGAAAAAAACTTCTTAAATTCAGCATATTAAACAGTGAAAATATATCTTGTTGATAAACCATTGAAATAAAAATTGCTTTAGATACTTGGTCACATATCCAGTGCATTGCAGATAATAGAAATGTAATGTAACATTTTTAGAATGTCAACACAAATTTAAAGTAAGTCAATTAGAAGTGTCAGTCATGATTTTGTAGGACAAAATAAAAAATACCTAATCTGAATGAATGTATGTCAGGCTCCATTATTTTCCTAAGTGCAGATAAAATACTGCCACGTTAAAACAAAAAAAAAACAAAACAAAACAAAAAAACCAAACCCACAAAAACCCAACACAAACCAATGAAATTGGAGTCTCCCATGGAAAAGCCACTTTTTTTTTTTTACAAATAACTAAAGTCCAAGTGCAAGACAAGTAGCATCAGTTTTTAAATCCCGCTTTTATCTTTAGTTTTAATCAGTCTTCACTTTTATTTACATTAAGAACTCTAATGTCCATGCCTTTTATTAAAAACAAAACTAGAACCCCTCATGGAAAATACAGAACATCCCTCCCTCATGCAGACACACATACACTAAGAATACAAGAGTATGCCTCTGAGGAATATTCTTTAAACTTCCATGAAAGCTTCACACAAATCCCATGTAGAACACTCTCATGATCTCCCTTCAAGCAGAATCCTCAAAAGTTCCCTTTACTCCAGGTTACAGAATCTTCCAAGAGCTTCATCACTTAATTGAGCGATGAGTTATTAAAACCAAACTGACTGTACAGTCAGGCTTCAATGGAATCCAGAAACCTCCTCCTTGGCTCACACCCTTCCTGTACCCAGAAACTCCAGACTGAACACCAGCTCCTGTCCTTGGGACCACATCCCTACTGCTGGTCATATGATAAACTGGAACAGCAGAACCTGCTCAATCATCACAGGTTTTTCCACTAGGGATATTAAAATACCTCTAAAAATTAGTTGTGCTACAGGCTCACATCCTAATTTCACTAAAAAGACTTCTCTTATTTGTACAGTTTTACCTTAAGAGTAATAAATTGTTAATTTTCATATGGAAATGTTATACATATTAAGTGCAAAATGCAGAACACTGATCATACAGTTTTTACAGACATTAACTGCCATTGTTTTGTGCAGAGAACGTTACACTTCCCATAACCTGAAATCCCCTCATTGAAACCTCTCCTGATAAAAACTGCTGCCCTGCTTTCAGTCTTTTCAGTCACTTGTATCTTATCAAGGAAAGGACAAACATCTAAGATGGGGGCTCCTGAAGCATTGTCCTTCAGTCCTACTTTCTGTAACTGTCATTTCACTCTTAAAAGTGACACATTGCTTACTTCCTTATTTTATTCGATTTCCTTTATAAATACCATGTTTCTTATGCCTTTTTATGGAAACATCTAAGGTGTGCAGATTCAAATGTGCCTGTACATGCAGCACTTCTAAGTATATTGACATCAATTCATGGGGGGGAAAATACTCCTTAAAAAAAAAGCAGAGATTCAGTTACATTTTCCATTGAATAACAGGATAAAAACATTAGGTATTCCAATTTAAAACAGGCATTCAGGTGCAACTTTTTAACTGGGTAAATAACCAGGGAGCAGTTATGTTTCACATGTGGTAGACCCAGGACTGTACACTTCCCCTTCCCCAAAACCTGTAGCAACTAAAAAATACCATCACTTTGTAACTGTTAATCTATTGTTAATCTGGGTTGGACTTGATGATCTCAGAGGTCTCTTCCAACCCAGTTAATTCTATGATTATGCTCTGTCGCTTCAATTTCAGCAGAGTTTTATTATTAAACTAGAAAACAACTTAGTCATTAAGAAAAGTTATAATTTCATTATGTGATAGGCAAGGCCAGATAAGAGAAGGGTATGCTTCTCTTAAACTATTTTCAAATCTAAACTGAAACTCAAGGTCACTGTAGCAGAGACCATAATGGCTGAAATCTAACACTCATCCTCTGAACAGCAGCTGCTTAACACCACAGCACTTGCCAAATTTTGCAACCCAAACGGAGTCTGAAAGAACTCAGTTTCTATTTTCTGAAAGAACTCAGTTTCTATTTACTTCAGAACAGTAATTTTTTTTTTTAAGGAAGTTATACCCCTATCTTGCTGTAATTTCCTACGTAAACCAACCCTTACACATGAGAAAATGTAACAGAACTAGTGTTAATATTAACACAATAAAGCTGAAGAGACATTGGCAAGGTATATGAAAACAGACAATTATATTTGAACAGCATTTAAACAGAAGAAGTTCATATCTATGAACCTGGAAAAATCACAGCAGTTCATAGAAACGTTTCTCCTCCACAACAGGAAATACAGCGCACAGGAGCACAGTATATGAATCAGAATTTCCTTAACAGCTCTCCTCTCCATGCTCATGACACAGCCTGACAAGCCAGGCTCGCTGAAGAGATGGGTCTGAGGGCACAGAGACAGCCCTCCCCACCTTCAGACTCATTTCTCAGCCATGCGAGCTCTCTCTCAAGAAACACAAGCAGGTGCAGCCCGCACCTTCCCGCACCCGAGGTCCACTTCTACAGCCCCCAGGAGCGCGGTCCCCGCGTCAAAGGGGCCGGCGGGGCTCAGCCCTGACTCACTCCGCTCTGCAGTAACGACATTCCCTTCACCCGCAGAGCCGGCACGTCAGGCCGGGACGGGCCCCGGGCACCGGCAGCGCCGCGCGGGAGGACCGCGGTGCCCCCGGAGCGGGGGGAGGAGCCGCAGCCGCCAGAAGGTGCCGGGCGGCGGGCACGGGGGGCTACCCGGCGCCCAGCCCGGCAGCTCCTCAGTCACACACCGGTGTGTCCGGCCCGGCCCGGCCCCCTTCCCGTCCCGTCCCGTCCCGTCCCGCACTCACCCGCTCGTGGAAGATCGACTCCATGTTTACTGACCCGGCCCGCAGCCCCCGCCCCACGTGACCCGCCCGCCCAATCACGGCGCCCCGCGCCGCCGCCCCTCCGCGCACGGCCCGCCGCGCTCCCCCCGCCGCCGCGGGGCGCCCCCTGCCGGACGGGAGGCCGCGGGCAGGTCACGGGCCGCGAGCGCCCCCGCGCGGCGGGAGGCCCACACGCACCGCCCGCACCGCCCATCCGGCGACGTGCCCCGCCCATCCAGCGGGGTGTCCCGCCCATCCAGCGGCGCGTCCCGCCCATCCAGCAGGGTGTCCCGCCCATCCAGCGGCGCGTCCCGCCCATCCAGCAGGGTGCCCCGCCCATCCAGCAGGGTGTCCCGCCCATCCAGCAGGGTGTCCCGCCCATCCAGCATGGTGTCCCGCTCATCCAGCGGCGCGTCCCGCCCATCCAGCGGCGCGTCCCGCCCATCCAGCAGGGTGTCCCGCCCATCCAGCGGCGCGTCCTACACCGCCCCGCGACCCCGAAACCCCGAACCCCTCCTGCCCCGGGAACGCCTGCTCCTCCCACGGCAAAGAGCTCCACGCCGCCTGTGCTCACCAGCTGCCCATCCCTCGCACCTTCCCCTTCCTGTTCCCCCCATGACACAGAGCTCCACGCCGCCTGTGCTCACCAGCTGCCCATCCCTCGCACCTTCCCCTTCCTGTTCCCCCCATGACACAGAGCTCCACGCCGCCTGTGCTCACCAGCTGCCCATCCCTCGCACCTTCCCCTTCCTGTCTCAAAGCCGCAGCACCCACTCGCCCCTGTTCTAAACAAGCCTAAAGAGAAAATCCAAAAATAAACTTGTCCACATTCAATTAAAAAACACAAGCAACCGCCAACCACATTCTGGGTCTATGTGAAGTATTCCTTTGAAGGTTAGTTCATAAATTAGGGGATGAGCCACTGCTGACAGAAGAGGCCAGGCAGGGCCAGCCCAGCAGCTGCCTACATAAAATCCATTCAAATACATAGATTCCACACCATACAGATAAATAACAGCATGAATTATTTTTGCATAGCTTTTCTTTATTACATAATTCTTCCTCCTCACTTCCAGAGTACAGGACAAAATGTTCTCAACACTTACGGACTAATGGAATTCCTGGACACCTCTAAGTCATTTAATTAAATCAACTTCAAAAAGTAACATTGGAAATTAAACTAGCACTGAGGAATTGCAGGTGTCCTTTTCTGTAGTATGCTCTCAGGGTAAAAATCATAATCCTGTTCTTTCAACGTGTGAGATAAGATGATGAATCAAACAAAAATGTCTTCCATTTCATCGGCAGCTCTTATCTCCATGTCACCTCTTCACCAGGCTTCAACTCCCTGTGTAGAAATAAGAAAGATAGAGGGAAGAGACTAAAATTAGGATTTTTTTGATAGAATAGTTATTAATAAATGTAATTTATTCTACAATAGCTTAATTTTGAGATTTCTGTATAAATTTAACTTTCCTTGCAATAGTTGTCAGTTAAAAATCTTTTAATACTGATAAACCTATTTTCTTCCCAAAGCTTGAACAGAGTCCTCTTATTTCCATTCATTTAAATGATAGCACAAAACAGCTGACCTCTAAGGAGTTAACAGACTTTTAATCTGATCCATAATGAAAAACTCTAATTCTTTTAAACACAATAATTCATTACTTTAGTGGGAAGAGAAGTAGGTGTGAAATCAGAGGGTATTTTTGCAAGATACTTAAACAGCACCCCAGTTCACAGCAACTGCTGTAAAAAAAAAAGTGCTAATGTACCTGTGGGGTGGATTATGTCTTAAGTTTTCTTTCTTACTCAAAAATTTAGGTAAGACCAGAGTTGAAAAAAAAATCATCTGCAAACTGGTATCATTCCTATTATTAATCCATACTATGCAACATGATTTTTCTTCTTGTTTTGCTAACCCTATGATCTAATACAGAATTAGAACTGACATAGATGAGGCAATGCCTGAAGTTCTCTAATCTAAATTCTCCCTGAGAAGTCACAGCCAGTAAACCCAAACTCATCAGTGTATATAATCACATCATTCAGTGAAAATACAGCAGTTGCCGAAAGAAGTTAATTTGGAAAATATTGGTTATTATTTTTAATAACATACATTTATTCAAGTATTTAGTTAAAAAGTGATGTGATAAATTTAAGACAGAAAACTAAAATTCAAGCACTATGTTTCCCACTGAACTTTTAGAGAGAGAGACAAAATAGTGTTTTACACATTTCATGGCTAGGAACTTGATAGCAATTAATAATCCTTTCTTTCCTAACAAAGTTGGCTCCTAAAGACCCAATTTAGTGACTTAAAACACTTCACAAATGCTTGATGAAATTTTTAGGGATTCCTTTCCTTTAATATTTTGACTGTTGGGGTTTTTGTTCATACTTAAAACTCTCAGAAAGAACACAGAAGCACTTTGAAAATAACTATATGTATGTATTTAAGAGGCATCCTAAAGCAGACCTTTTGTATAATAAGCTCTTGTTTCTGAAGGTTGCCAGTTTTTCATCATTCCATCTGTCCAAATAGCATCCAATCACAAATCCCAAGGGAACTAAGATGTGGACCCAGTGATCACGCACAACTTGTGGTAAATTCACCATGACTGCTAGAAAGAAAAGCATAATAGGTAAGAGTTACTAATAAATCTGCACATGGAAACTGTTGCATAGTTGGAACCTTTACTCTCACTTACTAGGATTCTACAACCACATAAGAAACATGAATGCCATCACACACTTCCTAGAGACATGTGCTGTTCTCAACCCATACCTGTGTTTCTTAAAAATAATCCTAATTAACTCTTCACCCTGGGAAAGAGGATTTAATCCTAAAACAGAGAGAGAAATAGAACATCTCTTTTAAGATATCCCTGATGAAACAATTCAATTTTTAAAGGTTCTAGAGCTATCTACCCATTAAAGCAACTCTACACAAGTTTGCTGTTCTGTAAAACAGAACACATCCATGTAAAACAAACATGCCTATAATTTAAATTCCTGTAGATGGATGCCTTATTACCAGTATCAAGACTGAAAGACAAGCTGCAGGTTCAGCAGGGAGCTGACAGATAAGGGAGGACACTTCCAAAATCGTTAGGGTTGGAAGGGACCTCTGGAGATCATCTAGTCCAACCTGCCTGCAAAGGCAGGGTCACCCAGAGCAGGTGACACAGGAACGTGTCCAGGTGGGTTTGGAATGCTTCCAGAGAGGGAGACTCCATGACCTCTCCGGACCGCCTGTTTCAGTGTTCTGCCAAACTTAACGTAAAGTTCTTCCTCATGTTAAGGTGGAACTTCTTGTGTTTGAGTTTATGGCCATTGCTCCCCGTCCTGTCGCTGGGCACCACTGAAAAAAGCGTGTCCCCATGCACTTGGCACTCGCCCTTGTGATATTTATATTCATATGCACCCCCTCTCAGTCTTCCCTTCTCCAGAACAAACAGGCACAGCGAACCTTTCCCACCCAACCGAACCCTTCCAGGTCAGGGAGTTAAGCTCGACGCCAAGGCCGTGTCCCACAGCGCCGGGCCCCGCGGTCGGGCGGACACCAGCGCCGCCGCTTCCCCCGCGGGGCGGCCGCGCACCCGCGCCCTGCCGAGCGGGCGGGAGGCGCTGCCCCCGCACCGACCCCGACGCCGGCCCCGAGAGCGGCCCGGGCCGCGCTGCCCCCGGCAGGGCCCCGCCACCGCCCGGCTCCGCTGCCCCCGCCCGCCTGGGACCCCGGCCGCAGGGGCAAGAGCATCTTAAAGCTCCAAGGCTGAGGCGCCGCGTCCCGGCCGGAGGGGTTGGGGACAGCACGAGGAGCTCCCGAGGAAGCGTCACATCGGTCCCAGCGCTTCCCCCTCCCCCGGCCCCACCGTTACCGCCGCTCGCGCCGGGCCCGCCGCGGCCGCTCCAAGGGCACCGGGAACTGGCGAGCTGGCAGCGACCACAGCCCGAGCAGGGACGGGGGGGGCACGTTTCTCCCCCCCCCCGGCGGGCTCGCGGTAGTGCCGCCCGCCACCCTTCCGCTCTTCGCCCCGCCCCGTCCTCCCCGCCTCCCGCAAGATGGCGGCGGTCACTGCGCGCGCCGGGCCGGGCTGAGCGCCTCGGGGAGCGGCGCTTCCTCCCCGTCCTCCGCTCCCTCCTCGTCCTCTCCTTCGCCGACTGCAGTGGGCACAGGGCTCGCACCCGGAACGCCGTCCACACCCGGCGAGACTCGCCCCGGCAGGCCGGGCCCGGACCGCAGGGCCCGGCGGGCGCTGGAGCCCCGGACCCCCGGGGCGTTGTAGGGGCCGCGGCCCTGGGTGCGCCATCCCCACTGCCCCCGTCCGGCCCCGGGGAGCGGCTGCTAACTGGGCTGCTTCTTGCGACCGTTTTTGTTTGGTTGGGTTTTTAAGCTGTGTATAGTTCTATATTGTAAAAAAAAAACCCAAACAACAAAACCCCTCTTTCTAATAACAGAAGACTTATAGCGGTCGAACGTTAATATTTGAGACTTAATTGATATCCAGCAGCTGTATCGAACACTATTAACACAGTTATCCTGCATATTTTCAGGAACGTACGAAGCTAGGTCTAAGTAAATAGACTTTTTACATTGTGTTAGTCAGTGAGGCATTTCCTTCTGCCCCCTTCAGATTAGTTCTTCTGGAGATTAAACACTTGGAGAGGAAAATGACATCGATTATCAAGTTGACCACGCTTTCAGGGGTGCAGGAGGAATCTGCCCTTTGTTATTTGTTGCAAGTAGATGAATTTCGTTTTCTTTTGGACTGTGGCTGGGATGAAAACTTTTCTATGGATATTATTGATTCTCTGAGGAAGTAAGTAGTTCAGTTCATACACACCTTTTTTTTTTTTTTTAATAGGCTTTGTACTGTCTTGAAAGTTTTCAAAATTCCGTGCAATGATATGTGTATGTGATGTTAAATACAAAATTGTTCTTCTGTTTTTTTCTTTGGTGTGTGTTTTATGTGAAGGGAATTACACTGCTGAAGCCTTTCCAGTAAAAACTTGGGATTTTTTCTTGTCAGTCCAGTTAGTTACCTCTATTAACTGTAATTCTTGAACTGCTCTGTGCTTGTTTTGGCTTGGATGTTTTGTTTGTTTTTTTTTTTCCATAAATGTGACACAGCAGAGTTTATGGGACACTGACCTTGGCTCTAAACTGATTTAGAATGGTTTTAAATGGAAGAAGCCTCAGTGTGTGTAGGCTGAATACAAAGTGGTTCAACTCTTGCCTTTTGTTTCAAGTTGAACAGACCTTCAGTCAGGAAAACGGCTTCTGCCCTCCAGCTGTGCAGAGGGAATGGAACAACCGACAAAACAAAACCCATCTAGACTTTAGTACTGAACTTCTGCAGGTGTCCAGCAAGCAGCTTTGCTGATTACCAAGTTAGGACTGAAACTAAAAGCTAAGCTTTGAGATGCAAGTTTTACAGATTCACTTTTCTGGCGTTGCCAGTCTTGCCGTGTTTGAAGTCTTTTAATGGAGGATTCTTAGGTGCTAAGGATAATTTATAACATTTTTTGAGTATCTGAGAAGCAATTAGATGAAATTCACTTTTTCATAACAGCCATCAAGAAGAATGTATGTGCCCAAGTTACTGTGCAAGGGAACAAAAAGCTTTCAACCCAAGTTGTGTTTTCATTTGTTACGTATGTTTTATACCCTCAAATTTTTCAATTATGAAATGCAGAAAGTTATTAATCTGAGTTCTTATTTTAGGCAACACTTTTCAGGAAAAAAAGATCTGTTTTTAAAAGTAATAACCCCTCCAAAATGACGTACCACTTTTCTTAAATGATATATTTGACCTTTTCTTTTTTTGTAGAAATAGAGTTTGATTTGATCCTTATCAATTTAAAAATTGTTGTGTCCTTGGTTCTTTTAGCTGGTCTTTCTCATCAGAAAAAAACGTTGTGGTCTGTTTTTAGGTGTATAAACAATTTGCAGCACACCTGCACTGATAATATTTTTGGTCCCTCAGTAAATTTGCTTTCTGGAGTCCACATATATATTAAGGTCCTTTTAATCAGGAATTTGATGTGAAATTTAGATCTTTCAAAAGTCACTTGCATTTTTAAGTACTTGAACATTAGGAGATACCTGTAACTTTTACTTATGATTGTTAAAGCTTTCTGGAGCCTCAGAGGGTTTCAGTTTTGTTGTTCGGCATGCAGACTGCGTATGTATTCTCAAAATAGCTCTAACAGGAGGTACATAACACCGTATTGAACTCCTCTCAATGGCTGTTGTTGTCCCTGTCTTTATAGGCATGTACACCAGGTTGATGCTGTTCTTCTTTCCCATCCCGACCCTCTACACCTCGGTGCACTTCCATATGCAGTTGGAAAAATGGGGTTGAATTGTGCCATTTATGCAACTATTCCTGTATATAAAATGGGACAGATGTTTATGTATGATCTCTACCAGGTACATTTAAGTTGGTACTTTCCTACACAACATCTTTGTTATAGTGGAGTGTTTGAATGCTCTGTACCTCTTTTTTATTTTAGTCCCGCCATAATACCGAAGATTTCACGCTCTTTACATTGGATGATGTAGATGCAGCCTTTGATAAGATACAACAGCTGAAGTTTTCTCAGATTGTGAACTTGAAAGGTAACATTTTCTCCAAAGCCTCAAGAAATTACTTTTATTTAAAGGCAACAGAGTCATTAAGAGTTAAAGTAACATTTTTGAAGTCAGTAAGTTCTGAAATGTGTACCTTGCAGTGCTGATTGAATTAGCCCTGTGTCAATCTGTATCAGCTGAATGTTTGCCTCAGTAACTGTAGGCAGAAATGGGTAGAATTTTCATTTATGTGGAGGAGGTCCTGTCAAAGCATGTTGGGAGACATTTGTTTCTCTTTTGTTTTCTTGTAACTTTTCTTTAATTTGCTCATGTCTATCAAAAGCATTTACTTATGCTTAGTGGTAGATAGCTCAGAAGTCTTCATAAGCAGTAACACAAAGGAAGGTTTTCTATAGCAGGGATGTGTTGCAGAGATGAAGTTACAGCATGTGGATGATTTAATGAGGAGTCTTCACTGTCTCAGTTGTACTTGGTGTAGTTGATTCCTAGGAACTGTGGCAGCTGGAGAATCAGCAGCTTTTCACTCTCGTTGAATGTAAAGATCAGAATGAAATGAAAACCTTCTTCTTGAACAGGGACACGTACAAGCTGACCACCGCCACTTTGTCTCTGAAATGCAGTAACTCAGTTTATGAATGGTGCTTGCCAAAATACTTACCTTGTTCTTTGAAAAATGGAAATAGGATGTAATCCTGGAAAGAGGGCTGGCCTCTTCTCAAGATATTTGTAGCAAGCCTATGTCTGTGCTGCCAATTTTTACATCTAAAAAGTAGTTTTAGTATCCAACTTTTTTTTTAAACAACTAACTTTTTTCATATCTAATGGTGATGATTTGAAAAGACTAGATGGTGGTATTTGAGAAGATAATGTTTAATTTTTAACTACTACTGTGCACTTCATGCAGCAGAGTCAGTGAATAATGGTCATGGGTGGTCTAGTTTTAATCTGACAAAGATGCAGGCTGGTATCAGTGGCAAGGAGCAACAGCACATTAAAAAAATGCATCAGGTGCTGAAAAGTTCTGTCATCTGTATGACTTCAGCACATGAACACCTTTCCTGCTGTGGTTTGACTTGTGTTTGTCATTCTGGAAGACTTCCTGACTGTGTAATTTCTGTAAGTTTCTCTAAGTACCTCAACAGTGAATGATGCAGTAATCATTCAGTGTAGCCCCGGAGAGGGATCTGAGTTTCACCAGTGCACTTGCTTTCAGGTGATATGTTTGCTTTATAATTTACTATTGTTTAGGTCTATAGGCACAGCAGCTCTGCAGTGCCTCTGAGTATTGGTGAGAGGTGGAGGGAGGAAGGAGTCTGCATTTTAGTTTCTTTATTCTGGAGGAAATAGAGAAGTGAATTGCAACAGATTTTGAAGTTACTGATTAGATGGTAAGGACAGATATTACTGCTTTTTCCTACTTCAGTTGACTTTTTGTCTGAGTAATAATTTAGGTGTTCAGTTGTTTGAAGTTACTATCTCTTGTTCAGAGTAATGGGTTTTAATACATGTAATGTACCTAAAATACTGAAAACTTTTGTAGGCAAAGGACATGGTTTGTCAATCACACCATTGCCAGCTGGTCACATGATAGGAGGCACAATTTGGAAGATTGTCAAGGATGGAGAGGAAGAAATTGTTTATGCAGTTGATTTCAACCACAAGAGGGAGATGTAAGTTCAATATGGCAATGTTTCTTATGTGTTGTGTTAGGTATGCATGATTTAGTGTGTGATAAAGAGGTATGGAAGCAGAAGTGCATTTCCAGTGCTAGTAAGATCCACTAATTTTGCTTGCACCAAGATTAATTGGTTTGAAACAAGCATTAGCTCTGTGTTTCTTTATTCCATTCATTTTTATTTTTTTGTAAGTTTGAAGTAGGAAGCATTCAGCAGCTGAGGAGTTTGATTTCTGTACATGCAAATATCTGGAAGCTAGCTGTCTTATTTTTTCTCACAAAATAGAAATGCAAAAAGTGAGATTTTTGCCTTTTTTTCACAGCCATCTGAACGGATGTTCCTTGGAAATGTTGAGCAGGCCTTCATTGCTTATTACAGATTCATTTAATGCTACTTATGTACAACCCAGGAGGAAGCAAAGGGATGAACAGCTTCTGAGTATGTATTGTTTGGGCTTGAAAAATAGCAGTAATGTGGTTTATTAGCCCCTGCAAATTATTTTTCTGTGCAGAATTCATCAGCATCTAAACTAAGAACCCTTATTAAAATTTAACAAATTTTGAATTACTCTTTTCTGGTTGTACTGATCCTGTGAGTTAAATGTTTTCCTAAAAACAATGAATCATATTTGAAAGCATTGATAAATGGCTTTGGGGATTTTTAAATTACCTTCCTCAGCATATTCTTTTTTAAAACTCCATTTTACTGATGTTTTTTAATTAAAAAAAAAAAAAAACACCAAAAAAACCAGAAAGAAAAGGTATCAAGGCAGTGAGATCTTCAGATAGAGAAAGCTCCAGCTCCCTTTTAATTTTGGTGGAAATGTAGCTTTGGATGTCTTTTGAAGTTCAGTTTATTTCTGTGTTCAGTATGCTCTTGATTATGATTGCTAGTGTGGTGTAACAAACAAAAAAACCCCAAGCTACACCACAAACATTTCTTCCTAACATCTAACCTAAACTTCCCCTGGCAGAGCTTGAGCCCATGTCCCCTTGTCCTGTTTTTGGTTGCCTGGGAGAAGAGACCAACCCCCACCTGGCTATAACTTCCCTTCAGGTAGTTGAAGAGAGTGATGAGGTCACCTCTAAGCCTTCTCTTCTCTAGACTAAACAATCCCAGCTCCCTCAGCCTCTCCTCATAGGACTTGTGCTCAAGTCCCTTCACCAGCCTGGTTGCTCTTCTCTGAACCTGCTCCAGCACCTCAATGTCCTTCCTGAACTGAGGGGCCCAGAGCTGAACACAATACTCAAGGTGCGGCCTCACCAACGCAGAGTACAGGGGAAGGATCACTTCCCTGCTCCTGCTGGCCACACTGTTCTTGATGCAAGCCAGGATGCCATTGGCCTTCTTGGCCACCTGGGCACACTGCTGGCTCATGTTCAGCTTCCTGTCAATCAGCACCCCCAGGTCCCTTTCCACCTCGCTGCTCTCCAGCCACTCTGTCCCCAGCCTGTAGCGCTGCAGGGGGTTGTTGTGGCCAAAGTGCAGGACCTGGCACTTGGCCTTGTTGAACTTCATCCCATTGGAGTCAGCCCATCTCTCCAGTCTATCCAGGTCCCTCTGCAGAGCCCTCCTGCCTTCTGGTAGGTTGACACTCCCTCCCAACTTGGTGTCATCAGCAAATTTGCTGATGATGGACTCAATCCCTCATCTAGGTCATCGATAAAGATGTTAAACAGGACTGGGCCCAGCACTGATCCCTGGGGACACCACTGGTGACCGGTCGCCAGCTGGATGCAGCCCCGTTCACCCAGCACTCTCTGGGCCCGGCCCTCCAGCCAGTTCTTAACCCAGCACAGAGTGCCCCTGTCCAAGCCATGGGCTGCCAGCTTTTCCAGGAGTATATTATGGGAGACAGTGTCAAAGGCTTTGCTGAAGTCCAGATAGACCACATCCACAGCCTTCCCCTCGTCCACCAGGTGAGTCACCTGATCGTAAAAGGAGATCAGGTTGGTCAAGCAGGATCTGCCTCTCCTAAACCCGTGCTGGCTGGGTCTGATCCCTTGTCCATCTTGTAGGTGCTGTGTGATTGCACACAGGATGATCTGTTCCATAACTCTGCCAGGCACCGAGGTCAGGCTGACAGGCCTGTAGTTACCAGGGTCAGCCTTGCAGCCTTTTTATGGATTGGGGTGATATTTGCCAACTTCCAATCATGTGGGACCTCCCCAGTGAGCCAGGACTGTTGGAAGATAATGGAGAGCGGCTTGGCAAGCTCTTCTGCCAGCTCCCTCATTACCCTAGGATGGATCCCATCTGGTCCCATAGACTTGTGAGGATCCAGGTGGCTCAGTAAGTCACTAACTATTTCCTCCTGGAATACAGGGGGCTATTTGGTTTCCTCTCTCTGTCTACCAGCTCCAGAGGCCAGTTGCCTTGAGGGCCACCTGTCTTACTGGTAAAAACTGAGGCAAAGTAGGTGTTAAGTACCTCAGCCTTCTCCTCATCTCTATTAACTATGTTTCCCTCCGAGTCCATCAAAGAATGGAGGTTATCTTTGCCCCTCCTTTTGTTATTAATGTATTTATAGAAGGACTTTTTGTTATCCCTAACAGAAGTGGCCAATTTAACTTCAAATTGCGCTTTTGTATCCCTGATTTTCTTTCTGCATGATCTAGCTGTCTTCCTGAATTCTTCGTAAGTAGCCAGCCCTCTCTTCCATAGTCGATAAACTCTCTTTTTATCCCTGATTTCCTTCAGAATCTCCCTGTTTAACCAGGCTGGTTGTCTTCCCGCTGGCTTGCCTTTCGGCACACCGGTATGGCCTGTTCCTGTGCACTCAAAACTTCCTGCTTGAAGCACATCCATCCCTCCTGGACTCCCTTGTTTTCAAGGGTTGTTTCCCAAGGGTATGCTCTGGACTAGACTTCTGAATAGGTCAAAATCTGCCCTCCGAAAGTCCAGCGTAGAGGTTTTATTGTTGTTTCTCCTTGAATCTCTGAGTATTGAAAATTCTATTATTTCATGATCACTATTTCCTAGGCGGCCTTCAACCACTATATCTCCCACCAGCTCCTCTCTGTTTGTAAACAGCAGGTCTAGTGGGGCCTTACCCCTGGTAGGTTCATTTACCAGTTGATGAAGGAAATTGTCCTCTATACACTCCAGGAAATTCCTAGACTGCCTCTTCTCTGCAGTATTGAGCTCCCAGCAGATATCCGGCAGGTTAAAGTCACCTACAAGGACAAGGGCTGACAATTTTGAGACATCCGCCAGCTGCTTGTAGAATAATTCATCCCCTTCATCATCCTGGTAGGGCGGTCTGTAACAGACACCCATGATGATGTCAGTCTTGTTGGTCTTCCCCTGATTTTGATCCACAGGCACTCAACCTTATTGTTGCTGACCTCAAGTTCAACAGGGTCCAGAGAGTCTCTAACATATAAAGCCACCCCTCCACCTCTCCTCCCCTGCCTGTTCTTCCTGAAGAGCTTATAGCCTTCCATAGCAGCACTCCAGACATGCGAGTCATCCCACCATGTTTCTGTGATGGCGACTACATCATAGCCTTCCTGCTGCACAATTGCCTCCAGCTCCTCTTGTTTGTTGCCCATACTGCGTGCATTAGTGTACATGCACTTCAGGTGGGCTGTTGATTTAATTCTTAACTCAGGCTTTCCATCCTTAGGCTGATTCTAACTTTGGTTCAAAGTATAAGTAGGCTTTTATTTTGTTTTTAATTCTTCTCAGCTAATGTTTTGGAGACATTACGAGGAGATGGAAATGTATTAATAGCCGTGGATACAGCAGGCAGAGTTCTGGAACTTGCTCAGCTTCTTGATCAGATCTGGAGAACCAAAGATGCGGGACTGGGAGTCTACTCTCTAGCACTTCTGAATAATGTCAGCTACAATGTAGTGGAATTCTCTAAATCACAGGTTTGTTTTGGTTTTAAAATGCAACTATGAAGAGGAATGTGTATGCAAAAGCTTTTCTTTTTAACAGTGAAAAATGGCAAAATACTGGGGGAGTGTCTTTATTCTGTAGTGCATATTTGTGTCTCAGTTCTTTTGATCAAGTAACAGTCTAACAGTCCAGTCATGGCTATGGATATGTTTCTTGATACTCATTTCTCTTTTTATCACAAGACTTGTTAGCATAGTTTATAGCTGCTAAAAAGGAGGACTTAAGTATTTTTTTGTTGTAGAGTATTTGTAGGTGTTGTTCGTGCTCAGCATTATTTCTATGCTTGCTGAGAAGCATTGGTGTAATCATGAGCCAACTGCATCCTGTACTTCATATTGTGTTTGTGCATTAATTGTAGAACTTGTATTCTTACAGCTCACTCTTTGTTACTACATATTTTAGGTCGAGTGGATGAGTGACAAGTTGATGAGGTGCTTTGAAGACAAGCGAAACAACCCTTTTCAGTTCCGCCATCTCTCCTTATGTCACAGTCTATCTGATCTGGCTCGAGTGCCTAGTCCAAAAGTTGTTCTTGCCAGTCAGCCTGACTTGGAGTGTGGGTTTTCTAGAGATCTTTTCATTCAGTGGTGCCAGGATTCCAAAAACTCTATAATTTTAACTTACCGCACTACACCTGGAACATTAGCACGATTCCTGATTGATAATCCCTCTGAAAAAGTTATAGATATTGAGGTAAGAATTGTCTCTATGTCTCAAAGTGTTTATTGTTGGCCATCTGGGGAATGGGGGCAAAACTGAACTTAAGTTTCCTTTTTGATTTGAGAATGCTTCTAGTAATGGAGAGAAATCTGAAACCAGTCTGGTGCACATTTAATCAGTTGTGGATAAATATACATGAAAATATGTCTCATATTGGGAACCTTTTGATGGTGTGGCAAAATTAATACTCCATTGAACTGAGCATGAAATTCCTTCTAAATATTTATCTTTAGGCAACACTTCACTTCCCATTTTTGTTATAATAAAAAAATCTGCTTGCAGTTATGTATCACCATATACAGTGGATTAGTCTTGCTGGAAAATACTCCTGGTTTGGGTGAGGGGAGAATTAGTCAAATTAGTATATCACACCAGGATTAGAAAGATAAGCAAACTGTAGAAATTATAATACAATTTTTGTTCTTGCTTTCAATAATCTGGGTACCTGTGTCTACTTCTCTCTGGTAAACCTTGTTAATTTGTGGGAGCTCCCTGTGATTGCAGTGATAATTTCAATCCTGATGAAGCAGCTTTATTTTAGTTTTAGATTTGACTGGAAGCATTGAATTACAGTATTAGATTATTACTAGAATTTAGTTTAATTGAAAGTGACCTATATTCGAATTTGATTTTCAGAAAGCAAGAAACAAAATATACCATTGTTTTGCCAGCTGGTATGACTTTGCCAGATTCTTGTGGTTTGATATTACTGATAGGAAAATTAAAAATCACTGGTCATCTCAGAGTATTTGCCTTCACTTGCTGGAGAGAGACTTCCAGAAGGTCTTTCAAGAACTTTTTGTAATGCTTAATTGATTTTAATATTTTTAGAAGTGCTTTTCTGTTAACATAGACTCTATTGATTGATATAATCACGATGTTCCCTTGCTGATGTGCTGAACATTTGCATAATCTTGTCTTGTATGTGACATACAAGTTGTACTTGTCCTTGGTACCCAAGTACAAATATTCTTAGCAGCAGCATGTAGGAGAAGTATTAAAATCATGTCAGCTACTCACAATAACATTAATTTTAACTCTACCTGCAGTTGAGAAAACGTGTCAAGTTGGAAGGAAAAGAACTTGAAGATTATCTAGAAAAGGAGAAGCTAAAGAAAGAAGCAGCTAAGAAGTTAGAGCAGTCTAAAGAGTAAGTATTTGATGTTCCTGCATTCTGCTGTAACGATCAGAGTTGAGATTTCTGTGTGATCATTCTGCTCCTCATACTGTTTACAGGGAAAAATGAAAATTATAGTTTTGGTAGACTTGTGTGGGGGCACTGAGGAATTGGGAGGGGTTGCCTTCAATCCGTTGTTCTGACAGGCCTGTTTCATCTGCCATTTATCTGTGAGCTCCTTCTCCGACACATAAACTGCCCTTGGTCTCGGTTAGTGTTATGTCAGCTGTTATTTTCCAGTCAGTGTGTTTATGTAATATGAATCCTGAATTAAACAAGAAGTGCTAGGGTTTGGTTTTTTTTGAATGTCATTTCAGGGCAGATATCGACTCCAGTGATGAGAGTGATGCTGAAGAGGATATTGATCAGCCAACTGTACATAAGACCAAACATGATTTGATGATGAAAGGCGAAGGTAGCCGAAAAGGAAGCTTCTTCAAACAGGCAAAGAAATCTTATCCAATGTTTCCAGCCCCCGAAGAAAGAATTAAATGGGATGAATACGGCGAGATTATCAAGTGTGTGGTAGCAATATATACTAACATGTAGTAGCTGTGAAATAATTAAAAAATAGAAGTCATTAAAAAACAAAATCATCATTTTGTCTCTTTTGCAGCACTGTTATATACTCTTTCCAACTGCTAAGTCTCACAAGAAGCTTATGATAGGATTGAAGCTGCAGAGTGCTGAACCATGATCTGTGTTCACACCTCTTAGGATATATTTTAACTCCAGGCCTTTTTTTTTTTAATCTTTGAAGATTTTAATTTTTTTTTAACCTGAATTTTTTCTGCTTTAAATTACACATATATTGATAAATTTATGAGGAGAAAAAGCGCTGTTCGTCCTAGAAAAATCTAGTAATATTTGTCCTCTCTGCATAAGGAATACTTGCTAGAAATTCTTGACTTGCTAGTATTTCCAGAGTTATTAAAGTTCTTTTTTTAAGATAGGAAGGTGATATATCCCAAATGAGCTCTGTTCAAGTATGGAAATAGTGTAGGCAAGCATAATAAAATTGTTGGCAATAACAGTTATAAAAAATCTCAGTAGGAGTAGTCAGCTTTGTTTGTTTTTATGTTAGGTAGTGCTTTGGTTTTACTCTAAGACTATTAAAAGCAAAATGCCTTTCATTCTTTAGACCCGAGGATTTTCTGGTTCCAGAACTTCAAGCAACAGAAGAAGAAAAAAGCAAATTAGAGTCTGGTTTGACAAATGGAGAGGAGCCTATGGACCAGGATTTATCAGATGTTCCTACCAAATGTATTTCTGCAACAGAATCCATGGAAATTAAGTGAGTGGCTTTGTTCTTGTCAATTCTGCTTGAATAGTGGCATGGGTACAGTGTGAACTTGGTGAAAGGATAGCTTGGATTTAAGAAAGTGGAAAAGGACTTGCTTTTTGTTTATTTTTCCCGAGCCAAGTTTTTTACTAGTCTTTCTGGGAACATGGTAGAGCCTTACAGTTCCCCACTCTGAAGAAATCTGGTTTGTCTGATGGAGACAACTGGAAGATGTAGAAAAAATGGTACAATAATGTGTTAGCATAGGTACTAAACCATATTTTGTTAAAAGGGTAACATATTCAGATATGCTTATCTCATGTTCTGGATAACTATGGGACTGAATTTGGTGAATTTATAGTGTTAATTACACAATGCATGCTGATATTTTACAACTCTGTATTTTACTCATCCATAATATACCTTGTGCTGTCAGCTTTTGCTGATGTAGAATAGTTTAAAAATATCTTCTGTCTTAAGTATTTTGGAGCACTAAAAGGTTTAATCTTTTAAACTAAAAAATAATATTCTTGGGTTTTTAATTCAAACTAGAGCCAGAGTTACATACATTGACTATGAAGGACGTTCAGATGGGGACTCAATTAAAAAAATTATTAACCAAATGAAACCAAGACAACTGGTCATTGTCCATGGACCACCTGAGGCCAGTCAGGACCTTGCAGAATGTTGCAGAGCTTTTGGTGGAAAAGATATTAAAGTTTACATGCCCAAACTTCATGAAACTGTAGATGCAACCAGCGAAACTCACATTTACCAGGTAAGGAACTGGAGTTCGTTAGCTGTGTGACTGCTGTGGATTGTGCTAGAGCTGTACTGGCAGGCTCTGATTTGGCCCTCACTTCTTTGGGAGAGGAGAGGAGGTACTACCTGTGTGGTTTTGTGCGATCAAGGCATTAGTGTTTTTCTGTCTTCTTAGGTAAACATTCTTCTGATGTTTATTATTCATTAGTATTTGAAAGCTTAAACATGAGATCAGTGTGTTTTTACATGTAGTGCAAAAGGCAAGGCTGGTGTCCATGGGAACACCAGTTTTCTTTACCGAGGTATTAATAAATTTATAATGCCTTTATTTAGAGTACCATTGTATACTAGTTGCAATTCAGGATCCTCTTTGAAATCTGAAAGGGAGCCTTAGAGATCAAAGAGAAAAAAAATCCTTCATACTTAAACAGTACCTAAGAATAAATATGTGAAGTTAGGGGCAAGTTAACAATAAAAATAAATAAGACACTCATATCCCCCCAAAAAAGCTTACGAGATTAAACTTGAAAAGTGAGCTTGTCATAATGTATTGCTCTCTGCTAGCCATGAAAAGTAAATGCAACGTATGAAGTCATAAATAAGTTAACTTGGATAACTTTTGTGAATTTTGTAAAAATTGTGTATGGTCCCAGTTCAGTTTTTGAAATTGTTTAGAGGGAAGTGTCTCAGAGAAACTTTTTGCATTAGTCCATTATCCCTTTGTCCTTTTAAAGGTAGTAGAAAAACGTTGGTGGAATTGTTGAAAGAGGTACTTCTGCTTTCCAGAGAAAAACCTGTTACCCTGTAGGAAGCAGAAAATTCAGACTTGAAACAGCTTGTTTTCTGCATTTTGTCTGCTAGTTGTCGATGTTTTGGTTTTTGTGGGGTTTTTTTTAAAGCTATAGGAATTGCTAGTATGTTAGAAATGACACAGGAGAAGTACAGTGGAAACACTGAATTTGAAAATAATAGATACGAGTGAAGCATCAGAATTGCAGTGTCTTTTGAGTGGACTGTGCTGCAGATGGGTAGTTAGTTGCTGTATCTTTCATACAGTTGCAGCCTTGATTCCACTATAGAAATCGTGTCCCATCTTAGGTGGAGAACAATCTTTAAGAGTAGGGCTTAAAGTCCTCGAGAGCACCATAGGAGCCAGGGTAAAGTCACTCCAAAGTCTGATATTTACAAAATCCTTCCTTACAACAAAATATTAATTATCATTTTTTGGAGGGTTGAAATTTGGAACTGCTCTTCAGTAACCTAAATGTATCTATAAAAAACTTTCCATGAATTTGCTAAGACAAACTAAGGAACTCCATGGCTGCAAAAAAGGTTTCTGATTTTTTAAAAAGAAATTAATGCTCTTGCTGTAAATTTAGCTCAGGCTTGCAGTCATAGATATTCTTGTTTATTTTAACCAAGACAAGAAAAGTATTGATCTCTGCTGCTTTTATTTTTGTTGAACCCAGGTCAGGTTAAAAGACTCTCTTGTCAGCTCCCTGCAATTCTGTAAAGCCAAGGATGCTGAGTTGGCTTGGATAGATGGTGTTCTGGATATGCGGGTTTCAAAAGTGGATACTGGAGTCATTTTGGAAGAGGGAGAGTTGAGGGAAGACGAAGACTTAGAGATGCAAGTGGACGTGCCTTCTTCAGACTCGAGTGTGATTGCGCAGCAGAAGGCCATGAAAAGCCTCTTCGGTGACGATGACAAGGAGATGTGCGAGGAGAGTGAAATTATCCCTACTTTGGAACCTCTGCCACCTCATGAGGTACAGAAATGATGCTGATCTGAATTTTTTTTATGAAGAGCTCTGCATTCATTTATGTTTTTCTCGTGCTTAGCAGTGGATACTGATCTTAGCTCAACTGGAAGCCTAACTGAAACTGGATTTTCATGTTTGATTTTCTCTTTGTTAAACATGGTTCTGTGCTTTGTTCAGAATTTATGCTTATCAGTGAGGATGGTCTTTCACATCTACTAACAGTGCCTAGCATACAGTGCCATGTATTTATGAAGAAAAGATTTTAATTAGCGTATTATTTGGTGTTTAGTCACTTTTTACTATGTTTTGTTGATGCTGTGGAAAATACATACTTGAGATACAGATCTTTGACATTCATACATCTGCTTCTACAGTAGTGATTTGAGAGTTCATTAAATTTAGCTTTTCTATAAATTTGTCTTTGCTCAAAATACTTTGCATATGAGGAGATATCATTTTATCTTTTTGTTGAACGATTCCAATGCCTTTTAATCCTAGAGTTGCTTTTTAAGATACTGTTTCACAGGCCTGAGTGTAGTCTTTTCTAGGAGCTCGATAACTGTGGAGACAAACCTAAAGTCTGTTCAGATTCATGGCAACCATCACAGAAGTATGTAGTGATCAGCAGTACAGCTTCCTGCAGCTCTGTCCCTGGCATGGCATGGCTTGGAAGAGGGGTCTTCATTGTCAGCTTTCCATTTGTCTTCAGTAATTTATAGTCCTGGGGTCTAGGCTGCACTGCTGCCTATGCAGTAATGAGATCTTTGTGAAAATGAAAGGTATTAAATAGAAGTATTAAAATTGTGTGTGTTGTTTTCAAGGTTCTTGGACATCAGTCTGTGTTTATGAATGAGCCAAGACTGTCTGACTTCAAGCAGGTTCTCTTGCGAGAAGGCATACAAGCTGAATTTGTGGGAGGAGTGCTTGTGTGCAACAATCTGGTGGCTGTTCGCAGGGTAGGTGTCCTGTATCTCATGCTCTTTGGTAAACAATATTCTAAATGAAAATTAAGTTTCTCAGTGTAAAGCTAATAAATCAAAACATGTCTTTTGTTGCAGACTGAAACAGGGCGCATTGGATTGGAAGGCTGTCTCTGTCAGGACTTCTATAGGATAAGAGACCTTTTATACGAGCAATACGCAATTGTCTAAGGAAAGTGCTCCAAAGGTGTTTTCACTTGAACTTTTACAAAAAATGGAGATTTCTCCCAGTTCTGACATTTTGTAGTTTTCTAATTTATACAGGGAAACCTAATTCATAAAGAGCAGTTAGCTACCCTAAAAATGTAAATAACTGCTACTGTTTTCATTCATAATTCTGTTGATACATTCCATGTTGTTGACTTTCAAATTGTTGCGACTTGGCATCTCCCACATAACACCTTATAAATGAGTTTACGATTATGAACACTTCTCAGCAAAGGTTCAGTTTGTCAGGACGTGTTCTGGTTTCATAGATTCTCTGCCAAAGAATACAAAATATGTAAAAGTCATTCTCTTGTTCTAAAATAAGATAGGCAACTGTGGGTTTATTTGGTTTTGTTCATTTTGTTTCCTGTGTGGTTGTTTTTACTTTGAGTTGTTTGGGTTTTTTTAACAAGTTTGATTTAGAGAACAGTCTTGAATTTTTTTTTTAAATGGAGGTTAGTTGAAGTACGTTACAAATAGCCCACTTAAAGCTAGAATACCTAAACTTTCCCCTAGTGTTAATCTGGCTCTATCTTAATGTTGTATCTGCTCCATCTTACTGATTTGTTCTCAAACTGCATTTTGTATCCTGTGTAAAGTATTAATCTGCAGGATAAAAAAAGTACTTACAAGAGTAATCTCTAAGAAGATTGGATAATATTTTCAGTAAGTTTAAAATCCAGTAATTGTGCTTCAGAGTAACTTCTGTACAAAATTCCAGAATTTGTTAACTCCTAGCTTTTGCAACGTTATGCAGCTATAAAATTGTTTCTGAGTTCTGATTGTAATACTTTCCAAAGTCTGGAGCCTTTATCCATGCTCTGCTGTTTGTTCAGAGTGCCATGAGCAAAGTTCAGGAAGATCCTTTATCTCGAAATCTTGAGTTCACACGATGTATTTAATGGTTCTGTGCCATGTTCCGTTCTAGTTGGCAGTGAGACTTCCTGGAGCTGCTGATGCTGGGAACTGACCTTACTTTTTTAGGTGAAGATGAGCACAATTTTGAGTCTATTAATTTCACAGATATTAACTTACACAAACAAATGGCCTCTCAAGAGTTTATTTAGTTCTTTTTTTCCCCTCTCCGTGTGTGAAACACCGGCTTTGGCAGTAGAGGGTTGCTTTTTTTCACATAAAACAGCAATGTGTTGTCTTTGTCTATGTTTAAATAAAACCTTTGGGAAAAGTGGCAAAAAATAGCCGTGTGGGCTGTCAGTGGAAAGATAATTTGCTTTGCAATTCATCTGTGACAAAAGTTTTCTATCTGATCTACAGAGTACTTAATTCTGTTTGAAATAGTAACTTAAAACTGAAGACCATGTTAAACAAAAAAACCCGATCTGCTAGAACAATATATTAAAACTGTAAAAAAACTTGTAATGCTGAGTGAGAATGTATTTTGTTACACAAAGAAAATCTTGGCTAGGGATGAGTAAATGGCTGAATGGTGCATTTTTTTCCTTAACAGTCTAGAAAAATGGCTATTTTCCTTATATTGAGAGCCAGAAGTTTGTATAAATGCTCTGGTTTTGTAGCAAAGCTATGAAAATCTATATGAGGTTGGATACTTGTTGGTGAATACTGTTGTATTACTATTGTTACTGATGCTAATGAACTTTTATAAGGTGAGTTCCTTTGTACATAATCATATTGGCCTTAGGACTTTTATCTCGAGTACTTAGGATGGGAAAAGATAACACATGCCTGCATGGAATATACTAATAAAGAAAAAAACCCTTAGGAAATCAAACTAAAAATAATGCTGTTTTTAAGAAAAGGATAAAGACAGTGCAGTGTGATCATAAACCTTTCTATCGGTTTTGTTTGGTTCTCTAACCTATTGATACAAGTTAAGCTAAGATCAACAAATTTTTAGTGTTACCAGTCACTAAATTATGTGTTCTGATAGAGAACCCCAAACTAGTGCCATCGCTGAGGAAAAGGCTCAAGTATGAGCAAAAGAACTAACTGAGGATCTATGAATGCTGTATGATACTCTGTTTCATGGCTTTTACAGATGTTTTCATGGTTTTAAAAAAGGGGTATTGGGGAAAATGATGTCACAGTTAAATCTGATGAAGAAATGTATCCAGTAAACAGAATTTTAGGTCAGAAAACTCTAAGAAATCAGTGGTAGTTCAAAATGGGATAATGAAACTAGATCTAAGAATCTATAAAATTGCTTGTTGAAATATATTTTTAAAAATACTTCAGACAGTCCTAAGTCTTATCTTTGCTTGAGACTCTTTGTGATTGGATAGGAGATGATACAGAGATCAAAAATTCATAGAATCACAAATAGGTTTGGGTTGGAATGGACCTTAAAGATCCTCTCATTCTAGCCTCCTTGCCATGGGCAGGGACACCTTTCATTACTCTGTTTGCTCAAAGCCCCAGGCAACCTGGCCTATAACAGTTCCAGGGATGGGGCATCCACAGCTTCTCTGGGCAACCTGTTCCAGTATGTCACATCATTTGTAGTGAAAATTTTTTCCTAATATCTCATCTAAACTTGCCCTCTTTCAGTGTGAAGCCGTTCTCCCTTGTCCTGTTCCTGTATGCCCTTGTAAAAAGCTCCTCTCTGGCTCTCTTTCAGGCACCCTTTAGGTACTAGAAGGTGCTCTAAGGTCTCCCCAGAGCATTCTCTTCCCCAGGCTGAACTACCCCAACTCTTTCAGCCTGTCTTCATAGGAGAAGTGCTCCAGCCCCCTGATCATCTTCCCAGCCCTCCTCTGGACTCACTCCAACAGGTCAAAGTCCTCCCTGTGCTGGGGACCTCAGAGCTGGAATGCAGCACTCCAGGAGGTGTCTCACCAGAGCAGAAAAGAGGGGCAGAATCCCCTCCCTTGACCTGCTGGCCTTTCTTTGGACATAGCCTGAGGTTCAGTTGGCTTTCTGGTCTGCAAAAGCACAGTGCCAGCTCACGCCCATCCTGCATCACTAGCAACTGGCATTTATTTTGGGAGTCTCTTGAGGGCCTTGTTTCCTGCAAGTACAGAACAGAGTAGTTAGCCAAAGTTGAAGTGAACAGTATTAATCTTTTTCAGAGTCCTTATATTATCTCCAGTGAAGTTGAAACACAGCTTTATAACAACACAAGCTTTTGTAGAAACTCATTTCCACAAAGTTTACCAGAAGGGCAAATATTTTGTTGAGTGGTTTGGGTGGTCTAAAATGGCATCCTCGCTGCATGCTAAACAGTACTTGTGGTGAACTGTGAGTGAACATCACACTGCTTGACTAGAATTAACCAAGGGATGAAAGAACCTGTAGTTCAGTGCAGTGTACCTCAAACTTTACTGTCGGTGGTAGGTTATGTATTACCACTGTGATAGGGAGTAAAAAAGAACCTAACCTGACTCCTGCATTTTTTAGTAGAATTTCCAATAAGTCCTGTACCTGTTTTCCTGGGAGAGAAGGATCCACAGAAACTCTAAACATCAGGACGAAGCAAGTTTGCTATATGAGCTTTAAAGCAGTAATAACCTGCCTGTTGTTGCATAATCCTCTTAGGTGATGCAAGCTGGATCTGTGGTTCAGCAGCTGAATGATAATGAGCTAAGCATCTGCCAAAAAGTGTAGTTTGTAAGTGCAATCTGGCAGTCACCAATTTTGATAATGAGCAAATACATTATTTCAGTTGTGTAGGCTTTTCTTAAGGAGTTTTCATTTTCAGTGTAGTTTTTTTTTCAAAAGTGATAAAAACTTCTCTAAAAGCTACTTTTGACAAATGCTTTTAAAGAAATTTGCACTGGGGGTCATTTCAGTTAAAAGTAATACCAAACCACAAGCTTTCCGTCAAACTTTGCTCAAAAACTGATACCAGTTTTTGTAGAATTGGCTTTGGAAAATTACATGGGGAAACCGATGAAAAGAGTCCATCATATTGTGTAGTAGTGGCTATCATGCCCTTCCTGGTAGTTAAGAAGTAGAAAGTAAAGCATAATATTTAATGTCAATAACAATGTCAGAACTTCTGCAAAAATAACAATTCCATCTCCAAAACATTGAAGGTTTTTATTTGTAGATACAACCAAAATTATTTTTTCCTTTGTGGCTGATAATTTTCTAGTAATATTTACGTGTCAGTTATGAAGAGTGAACCCTTAGCAACACGATTGTTAAGGAACAACTCTTGGAGTTGCTGTTTCTCAAGCTGGTGGTTTTATCAATACCTTCCTAAAGTTGTCACTTAACTCGGTGTCCTTGTCTGGGAGAAATCTCGTTTAGTTGTCTCACCAGTTCTGGACTGTAACGTCATGACACACAGCACAGTCATTTGCTTGACTGGTTTACAGCTCTGTAAATCAGAACAAGAACTCTAATTTGAGGCAATTGAAGTCACCAAGAACAAGTGCTAGCAAAGAAAGAAATGATTAATAGCCCAGAAGCTGGAAGCTAGCCTTTTATTGGGGTTTAAGGTTGTAGTAAAACCATTGCAGTTAACCTAATCTGGAGAAACTATTACTTCCTTTCCACATGTTGATATTTTTGTAGAAAGCACAAAAAGGTGACTGGCCAGGTATCAGTGATAATATTTGCCTTAGGGTAGATTTTACAGTAGTTGCTTCAAGGTGTGGGTTTTTTTCTCTTTTAAGTCCATCTGGATAAGTTTTAGAATATTCTTATCTCAGCTGTTACTAGCAGTGTTTCTCAGAAATAATTCTGAAGTGGGTAGCTAATATGTCCTTATCAGTGATAACAATCAGATTGTACAGAGAACTTGTACAAGATGATTCCGAAAGATCCTTGAAAGGAAAAAATGGGATGTAGATAGAAGTTAATCACCACTAAAACTTGGTAGGACTGTCAGACTGTTTAATTTCTGTATCTGCTTAGTACACCGTGATAGGAACAGGCTTCTAAGGAATGCTTTCTGATGACACTGCAATGAACTGGTCAAATAAAAAAACAGTCAGCAAAAAAAAAAGATTACCCACATTTAGCTAACAAGCCTGTTGCATATGCTTCACTATGTGAACCTGAAAATGTTTACATATCAAAAACTGAGAGATGGGATGTGTGATAACATTGCCACCTATTTTGTAATTTTACCACATGCCTTGGGGCAACAGGTGTAGCTTATGCAAGTAATTATTTGTATTAGGACAATATTGTTGTGTCTCCTGTTGTTTTCAGAAACTTGTTTAGCTTCTGTGGAGAAAAAAGCTCTGAGCATGATGTAATCATTACTTCCTAAATTATTGGCAGGTGCTCTCCAAGACATAGCAGTGAACTGTCCTTAAAATCCTCGGGAATTCTTTTTTTCTGCCGTTTTGCAGCTCCTGGAGGAGTCGCACAGCTGGCAGAGCATATTGCCCGTCATCGTGCCAGACTTGGCATTTGAAAGGCTGCCAGATTGCTTTGTGCTGCTGTGCTAGCTATGGATCAGCAGTTTGCAGCAGTATGAAGAGAGTAAGCGTTTTATTCTTTGCCCTTTGTAGGATCACAGGAGTTAATACTGCATTTGTGAAGAGTCCAGCCTCTTTTCTGAACCCACCAAGTGCTCGGGTTGCATTACCTGGTTAGATTAGAATCCATGCTGCAGGAAACTATAGAGAAATTACGTTTTTGATGTATTCTGGTAAAATTTTTATCAGAATCAATGTTTGGAGTCACTCTATATAGCCTGCTTTTCATGTTTTATGTAATTTTATTACGCTTCAGTATTTCTTTCATAATCTCCCTGATTTTACTAATGCACAATATTGCAAAAGCACTATAAAACTAGTCAACAGACTTGAAATCATTTGTGTATCTCTAAACCTCTTATGCTGATTAAAAGTGTTAAGGCTATTAGTATTTTTTATGTAACTGGGTCTAAATTTAGTTTCTGTTGCAGTCAAAAAACACTCTGGTATTTCAAACCATGATCCTAATCTGCTTCCTCTTGGAGTCGATGGTAACGGCTCTTCAGCACAGCTTTTGTGTTTCTGTGTGTTGATGACTTGAATAGTCAGCATCATGTTTATCGTAGAAATTCTGTAGTGACTTCATAGTTCTGATTTCTCATCCAGAAGTAGTCAAAATACTAGCTTGGCTGTGAAATAGGATTTTAATTACTTTTGGCCATTGTTTTCATTAATGCTTGACTTTTTAAAATGTGATTTGAGTAGCTCATAGGCTACTGCTCCATTGGTTGGGAGGACAGGACTGTAAATATTTTTCCTTATGTTAAATTCTTCTGGTTCTTGTATGGAGAGGCAAAAAGAGAAAGAAATGTTTAACTGGAAAAAGTAGAAAACATGTATGTCTACACCTTCCAAACTGAATAGCCATAAAATACCTGCATGACAGCCTCATCCTGCAAAACTGCACCTGTTTATTCATTCTGTATAGCCTGATCTTACTCTTTGAGCAACTTAATTATTATAAAAAAG